AACAAGCAAGAGCAAGCTCTTCCACCAGTGGGCATTGGCACTGCTCTTCCCTGCTTGGGTGGTATACACAGATGCCTGTGCATCTTACAGCTTATTCACACAGAGGGCTTATTCACAGCACAATCTTACCCATGTGCATTTGGAAGGAAGCATTATGTAGTTGAATAGGCCACCCTTCCAAGCAAGTGTTTATGTGACTGCAATCTAAAGAGGGGCAAATGCATCAAGTTTTATCAGTTGCAGCTGCTCAGTTGCTTCTCTTGGTATAAGTTGGGAGTATCTCCTTGAAGGAAACAAAGTAAGTTCAATGGAGGTGCAGGGGTCTTCTCCAAATGAAAGGTCACATTAGCTTTTGGTAAGACAGAAACATTTGCCTGGATATGGTTCCATTGTCTAATCATTTTCAATTCATGGGTTACATCCAATGTTATGCAAGCAAATGTCTACTCATACAATGGCCTCGCTCTGCCCCCCTGCAGTTTCCTGTGCCCTCAGATCTGCCCCTGACGGTCCCCAACCTGAAGATCAGGCTGCTGGGAAGAGGGGGAGCTGCAGGGCAGCTGCAGGGAATCCATTCTAACAGTAAGTGGTCTTACACGGGTGGATGCCATCCTATCTATTTCTGTTACAATGCAAGCCTTTCCTCTGACTTGCTCCAGATCTATACACTTTCCTTTTGATTCAGCTTGCTGACTTATTAAATTGTGCAGGACCAAAGGAGTCTACTTATGAAAATTAAAAATTACTGTGGCTTCATTCTGAAGTTTCAGAAAAGTCATATAATGTAATTCAAAATAGTTCAGTGAAGAAGATTACTATCTTTTGGCATTGCCTTAACATATGCTATAAAAGAAAATTGCCAGCCTTGCAAAAAAGCAGGCAAACCTTTCCACTGTGGGGGTTCCATAAAACAGTGGAACGTCCTGAATACAAATGGTATCTCTTGGATGTTAAACAGAGCACTTAAAAAAACTTTTTATGGTGGGAGGGTTTTATCCCTGGTGGGAGGCAGTGGCTAGAGATGCCAGAAGCCAGAGCTTAAAAGTACTTTGAACAAATATGTAAAATTAAAAGATAATGAAAATGCTTGTAAAATGGGAGTTTGAAGCTAGGGCAAATACCACCATACGTATATTCCAATGGACTGCAACATAAGAAACAATTGCATATACAAGTGCTCCAGGGAGGTCTGAGAGGACTTAGCTATTTGCTTAGAAAAGGCAAAAGGAGACATAAAGCACACAGAATTTATTTTCCTAGCTTAGGGTTTAAAAGAACAAAACATAAAAGAGCTCTCATGAACAATTGCTTACTTGGACAAGACAGCGAAGGATACTCCTTTTATTTGTACAAAAGCTGAGTGAAAGAATAGTGCAATCCTATACTCAGATGTCCAATTGAGTTCAGTAGAAGTTACTTCCAGGCGATATAGGATTACACACTCAAGCTACAATCTTAGGTAACTTTATCAGGGTGGTGTTCCATTCAGTACAATGGGACTACTGAGTAAAAATACAGGACAGTCCTGTAAAACATGGTTTATTAAAAGGCATAAACTTCAGGGATTTTGATGTGCCACTAAACAGTTTCCCTGTGCTATGAGGACCAAGATAAAGGCCTACAATGGGGAAAGGGCTAGGCTTTTCCTGTACCACATATGAGGGATGGTCCTTTAACTTGCATGGGACCAGAAAGGAATTTACAGTAAGAACCTCCACTGGAAAGTGGAGCCGCTTGTGATCTTTCTCCAGAACATGGGACAAAGCAGAGCTGATGGCCTCCCGGCTGGCTCAGCAGCCTTTGCATCACACAACTGCAGGGTTAAGAAAGGAGAAAGGAATTCTCAGGTGACTTATTAGGTCCAGTGCATGTTGACAAAGGTCTACCAGAGCACCACAAGACAAAACTTCAGGTAGAGCAAAAGCTTTGTGATTTCAGCAAGCTCTGTTTTCAAGGGACTATTTGCAGTGCTCATGAAAGAGTCCTTTGTCAACACACATTCAATCTATGCAGCCTTCCCCAACCTGGTACCCTCAGATGTGTTGAGTTTCAGTTCCCATCAGCCTAGCTAGCATGGGCACTGGTCAGCTATGGTAAGGTTTGTAGTCCAAAATATCTGGACAGGATCAGGTTGGGGAAGGCTGGTCTAATCAATGACCTCCCCATGTACCTGAGAGTCCTTCTCTTCCTTTTCTTGCCTTGAGGTACTCCCTCCATTTCTTTTGGTTTATTGGTGGCCCTCTCCAATCTTCATCTCCCCAGTTCTCCAAATGTCATAATCCTCACCACTGGGGAAGCACTGGCACAACAGAACAGTAGAAAAGTTAGGTCAGCAAGAGGGTTGAATGCAGGAATTAGCTCTTTCCCACCTGATCCTAATGCTACTTCCCTTGCGTAGCTGCTTGAAGTGCTGGGCTGTTGGACTGGATTTTACAGTCCACCTAATGCGACACGAGAATGGATGGATTGGTTATAATTTTGTTTGCATTGTGGTCTCGTCTCTCATATTTTTACACATGATACTCTTGAATAACTTAAGCTGGTTCCAAACACAATAACTCCTTTGCCTGAACCCTAACTGGTCTGCAGCATAATAAAGATGAAATAAACACCACTTAACACGAAGTCTTTCTAGGCGTTGCTTCATTTTGTTTTACTCTCTCAAGAATGTTGTGTTCTCTCACATATTAGACAAAAAAAGAACAATCTATATTTCAAATGCGTGAGCTGGTTGGTGTCCAAATAGCCCCTGTACTCTCCTTCTGATTGTGGAGAGAAACAAAGAGAAGATCATGAGAGGATATTCCAGAATGGAGGGACTTTCCCAAAGAATGGATTTTCACATATTGCATATTTATCATTACTTGCAGCAAAGGCCAGCAAAGTAGCCACTGGACTGAAAGAGGGCAGGAAGAGACCAAAGTGGCAGAAGAGGAACTCTCACACTCTTGCTAGTGGTGAGGCAGTGCTGGAGGCAATGAGATGAATGGAAGCCTTGTAAACGTGCACAGTTGCTGACTGGAAAAGAGCTCCGAACGTGAGCATTGAGGGTAGCAGGGCAAGTTGTTTTAGAGGATCTACAAAGAGTGCTTTGCATGGCCCTGTGTATACCTGCCTCCTGCCACCTCTGTCACCTTACAAGTCTTCTGAGGAAGGGTATCTTCTTCTCCTCATCAGGGCCTTCTGCTTCTCATCAGTTGTCACTAGGGCTGGGAAGAAACTCAGCAGGAGCTCTCCCTCTAGCACTTGTGGATTTCCTCTCATGCTCGGCCTGGTCTTCAAAGAGAGAGAAAGGAGGGCCACTAATGCTTGCAGAATGAAGGTTGCACAACAGGCAACCTTCTTCTGTGTCACATGCAACAGCACAAACAAAGACTGCTGCACATGGTGTGGAAGTTAGGCTCTGCTTGCGTGGTGTGTGGGGCTCAATTGCCGATGAGTACCATGCAAATGTTGGGAATCCTTGCCCGAAACTCTGACTCAGGCCCATGACAAAGCAGACCAGAGTCCAGGGAGCTAAGCCCAGGGGATCCAACAGACCTCCTCCTTGTGAGCTTGTTCCCAACTTAATTTCTAAATGAGTGGAGAGAAAGGAGGGCTGTATTTTGTGAGGGTGAGGGCTTGTTGGGTGGCATTTGGAGATGCTGAAGTCTGTTGGAGATGCGATGCTTTACCAAGCCCTGGCTAGGGTCAGAAAAATTATCCACAATTTTCCAGGAAATTGTTGATTTTCCAGGAAAATGTTGATCTAATCCTAGGAAATTTGGGAAGTTCACCCATTTTACTCATTATTAATTTCCACTACATTCTTGGAATGCTTATGGGATTTGGGTTGAGCAATGCAAAACTCCAAAGGCAAACTCGCCCCACATGTTGTAGTTCTACATGCCACACATTGCAGTACTTTAACTGGGAGGTCACCCAAGCATGAACAACTGGGTTTAAAACTCATTTCATGTTTTATCTTTTATTATAGTAATCTATGTCCCAGGTTTCTATAGACATTGCAGTCAAGGTATAGTTGACTGCAGAAAGTCAACTATAGAATGCTAAAGTCTGTAGACAACTTTAAATGACCCACAACTTACTCTGGGTAATCCTGAACTACATTAGAAAGACCAGATTACTATTGGGGCAGTAGCCAGGGCTGCATCAGTGACTCCTGGGAGTGAAGTAATAAGTCAGATAACATGAGTGATCTTGTATAGATAAGGTGAGAGAACATTTCAAGAGAAATTTTCCAGTCCATGAAAATATTAAAGGTGATGAAGTCATTTAAGAGAGATGGAAAACCCTTTCCAGAAAGAAAGTGTATGCTGTCATTGCAGATGACGAGGGGAAATTTATAGAGTAGACAGTGGGTGAGTTGAATGATCAAATTTCTGGGATTGGCATGCCACCCCATAACATAAAGTTCTCTGAGAAGTTTACAATAAGCCATTCATAGAGGCGTTCATTCTGTAAGTGTGCATAGCAGCCAGGCTAGCTGGTCTGCCAATTGCTGGGGTGAACCTAGCCACTACAGCCCCACTCATATCTTGATTCAGACAACATTTGTATAGGGGACCTGAGTCTTCAGCAAATATTCTCTAAACGACAATGTTTCCTTTGAAAGTGTCACCTTGAGAACAACTGCCAGTAACAAGACAGGAAAAAGCGGAAGGACCAAGGAGTAAGCCCTGTGTTAACCTGTGCACAAGAAGAGCATATTAACACTCGTCACCAAGTACTAAAGGACAATTATTTAAAGAAAAAAAACCAAAAGGAATTACAAAAGTTATATCCTAGCAAGGTTTACTTTAGTTGCAAGCTGATGACCTATTTTACTGCTAGAAATATTCAGACAGTATGTAAAAGCACAATATTTTGTCATAATTTTACAATTACAGTAACAGCTGCTATTACAGGAGGAGAAACAATATATGATATCTAAGTATTAAATTGTCCTTCAACCAAAATGTTGCTATTTAACTTTATTAACAGCCTCTCCATTACCTTACCAGAATTTTTGTTGGTCTTGTTCTGTCTGCTCTTTACTTGCTCAGTCCATAGTGTAGGGTAACGAGAAGCTATATCTAGAAAATTGAATATAAAGTTAGATTAGTAGAATGGAAAGTATACTTTGTGGCAGACTGGATTTATGGCAAGAAATAATGTCATAATGCAGTGCAGTTCAATGAGGCTGTACATAATCCTCTGAACCTGGAGGACTATGGGCATCCTCTGGAGGGCAGGAGAAGCATGGAGGCAAAGGTCACTGCCATGCTTCACCTGCCCCGCAAAAATATTCAGATGTCCCGTTTCAGCTGCCTAAGTTTTTTTCCCTGGAGTGCAAGGAGAGGAGGCCAAGGTCACCAGGATGCTTCATATACTGGTAGAAGCTTTCTCCTCTCCACAAAATTCCATCATTGAGGTTGCTTTTGTGACCTTGCAGTCACAGCCAGTGAGGTTCTTTCCATGCCAAGGGCAAAGGGAGGGTGCTCTGATGCCAAGCTGTGGAATCAGCACCAGTGACCATGTTGCAAAAGAGACTAATAAAGTGTTCAGTGAGGCTGACAAAGCACAATCCTATGCATATTTGTTCAGAAGTCCCACTGTGTTCAGTATAGCTTACTTCCAGGAACTTGTGCTTAGGTATGCAGTCTTAGACAAAGTCTATTGATTTTTTAAATGAGGAACTCCAGTACTGAGGCTTATCTATTTGTCTGTACAGATGATGTACAGCACTCTTCTCCAACCAGGTGCCTCCTGGACGTTTTGGACCACATCTCCCAGCATTCCCGACCATTGTCTGTGTTGTGAACATCTAAAACGTCTGAAGGGTACCAGGCTTGGGGAAACAGATCTTCAGGACTTCAGTTATTGAATACAATGCATAAGCAAATTTATATGGAAGAAGGTTATCTTTGAGATATTCTTGTTCCATACCATTTAGAGCTCTTAAGGTTATGATCAGCACTTTGAATTGAGCCTGGAAACAAACTATCAGCTATTTAAGCTAGAATAATTTTGCAGCAATGAACTTCAAATATCTCACACCAGATAACTGTCTAGGGCTGCAGCATTTTAGATCACAAATATTTGCTGTGGAGGTATTACTAAAGCCTAGGGATGTTAGAGAAATCTGCAACAGATTCAGATATGTTTGGATTTCTCTGAATCTGCAGCAGACCATTTTTTTTCCTGAGTTGCACAGATTCCATGGGCTTGTGGACCACTTTTTTAACTTTTGGGGGGATTTGCACAAATTTGCAGTTGTGCTAATGCAGATGAATGCATGTGTACAGTTTCGCTAACACATAGTTGCTCTAACACACACTTCTACAAGCAGAGCTAAATTCTCATACATCCATAAACGAATTCAGTGCAATCAAAGAGAAGACAATGAAACAAAAAACACCACACAATCAGAAAACACAGATGGGATGGATTAACAAAAGCATTCCCCACCCTGAACAGGAGTGCTTGTGAAAAGCAGTGTGGGAGATTTTGAATCTTCACTTGTTTTCAAAGGGCAAAACTCTGTGGAAATGAAAACTAAATCTTAGAATTTAGAAAAGGTGCTTCTTTCTCCCACTGCACTGAGTGATTAAGGGTAGGAGTTCAGCTTTTCAACAGTATTTTTGTGACAGCAATGCAGGTCCAAAATGTGTTAATTTTATTATTTTCTCTTCATCACAAATTAAACATTGAGTAGGCCAGTTAATGTGATTTATAGAACCACCAAAAATCCTTGCTGAGGTGAAAAACCAACAAAAGATTCTTTGTAATACCTCAAAGACTAACAAATATATTATGGTGTAGGCCTACATGTACTGGAGACCACGTCATCCGATATGGTCATCAAACTTGTAAAAATGCTAACAGACTATTATTCTGGAATGCTAATTCACACTAACAGAGTGGAATTGAGCATCTTTTTCATCATGCCATGTTGTGGGCAAGTATCTTATATCAACTTATATCTTGCTGTTTCCACCACCATCCAATCCCATCCCATCCCATCCCATTTTGAGAAATGCTGACCTTCTTCATCCCCTTGGGGCTGAGTTTCCAGTGCAGGAGCTGAGGCATCATCTGAATTCAGAATGGAAAAGATTTGCAAGGAGACTACAATTATGAAAGTAAGCTAAATAAGTGCACATACATGATTGGGACCAAAGATTTGAACATAGCCCTTGCTGGCCAATATATAAGCAAATAATATCCTGCTTCCCATATGCAGAGCATCAATGTTAAACATTTGAGAGATATTTTGCTACTTTGGCTAGCATGCTCATTAAATAGGAAACTATTTAATGAGTTCCAGTCACATGCAAGAAAAGTCCAGCGCACTGATTCTGACAAACTTTGCTTGCTAAATATTGGAGAAAGAATGGGACACTTGCACAGGAAAAAGGCAGCCAAGTTATATATGCATTCGCATTCACTGAATACGGCTGGGTTATGAATGCTGGGAGTTGTGGGTCTTTTTGCTGTCTCGGCATGCAAGGCATTGCGCCCTAAGTTCACCAAAGAAAAGGACTGCACCAGTGCAACCAGCTCTGTGATGAACCAAGTGCCTTTCCACTGAAAAGCAGGTGAGTTGCCCACGGGGACCTGGCCATTAATAGCTCCCTGGGTCATAACTATACGACAATATTGCATGCTGCAGCTGGGCTGTTGGTCAGTGGAGGTCAGAAGATGCAAGAGGACAGCAGGCAGTGGAGTTAGCAATATTTATCTGTGCAAGCCTGTAGCGTCTCAAATACAATATTAGCCAACCGAGCGTCAATATTACATTACACAGTGCTTTTAAAATTTTACACTCAAAAGTTCGATTTTTACATCAATTTTTACTGAATGCCCTTTTAAAAGTCTGATTTCATGGAATATATATGGCAAGAGAGGCTGCTTCCTGTAAAACCTTTATACACATGTGGATCTTACAAAAAAAAAAAAATCCAGATTGGCTGCGCCTGGCAAGTGGGATCCCAAGACACTGTTTAAGCGTCATTCAAGATACCAGTGCAGTGAAGTATTAAACCTGATGTGGAGTCTGTCCTGTCCATGTCCATGAATTCTGGCAGCTGGCTGGCCCCAGCACCAAACCACAGGAGGTTGCTTTCTAGCACATTCCACTTAGCACCTGGTTCTGTTCCATGGGTATCAGGCCCCGTGTGTAGCTGGGGGCAGGTGATAAAACTTGCTGTTTACTGCTAAGCCTCAAAATCCTGCCAACTTTTAAAGATGGCATGTAAGCATGTTCACTATACAAAGTGCCCTCAACCCACAAATTTATGATCTGAATCAAGTTTCTATTGAAAGTTATGGCCACCTGGAGCCTTCGTGTTTGCCTGGTAAAGGTTTGAAAGAAACATTGCCCTCAAGCAATATATACACATCTCACATTACTAAGTTTAAACAACTACTGAATTGTTTAATAAAAGTAAAATAGAAAAGGGCTACAGTTGCTAAGGTTCCCATAAGGTTATTAATCAAAGACAGTTACATAATTTTGCAGTCACATTTCCTTAGGTTGGGTTGAGTTCCTAAGGTTAGGCACTTAATGAAAGGAAGGGGGGAAGCAGGGGGCACATTGAATAAATCTGAATATGTATCTCCATTAAACTTGGAGGTAATTTCACCAAATACAGTAGGAGGTAAACTGGTCCAGAAAGACATATGAATGATTTTAGCACAGACATATCAAATGTTATAAGGATGTATCATTAATAACAACAGCAACTGCTTGGCCCTGAATATGATCCATCCGTTTAACTCATTACAATAACACATCAACAGAGAATTCAGCCTCAGTTACCATAGTGATGGATGAAATAATGGCACAAATTGACACGTTTTGATCCTCAACTGAACTGGCTTTGTAGAAATCTTGTGAAATGGGCCAAGGCAAAGGATGTTTAGGAATATATAAAAACAGACTGAATACTGTTTTTTACAATAATACTGATATTTTGAAATTGGACTTGGTTAAAGAGAGGTTGTAAGTATCCCCAGATTGGGGCCTTCCCCAATTTGGAACCCTTTAGATATTATGAACTGAAACCCCCATCACCGATGGCCATACTGTTTGGGGTTGATGGAATCTAGAGAGTACCTGCTTGGGGTAGGCTGGAGTCCAGTGCCCTGCTAGGAAACACAGTTTCCAGCAAAGAACCTGCAGAGCTTTCCATGTACATATGGAATGAGACTCTCCATTACCATCTAAGACTGTTTCCATGGGACTGGGACTGGAACCATGAGGTTGGACATCAATCCCACTATTTCCAAAGGAACCGTGGAATGTGGCAGTACACAGCAGGAGTTCACATAAAGGAAATGGAGAAGTAAAGATAATTACTTTAGGAATGGGGTTTGTGTTAACTGTTGTTGTAAGTTGTGAAGTCGTGTCCGACCCATCGCGACCCCATGGACAACAATCCTCCAGGCCTTCCTGTCCTCCACCATCTCCCGGAGTCCACCCAAGCTCACACCAACTGCCTCAGTGACTCCATCTAGCCACCTCATCCTCTGCTGTCCCCTCCTTCTTTTGCCATCGATTGTTTCCAGCATTAGACTCTTCTCCAGGGACTCCTTCATTCTCATTAGGTGGCCGAAGTATTTGAGTTTCATCTTCAGTATCTGGCCTTCTAAAGAGAAGTCAGGGTTGATCTCCTCTAGGACTGACCAGTTTGATCACCTTGTGGTCCAAGGGACTTGCAGGAGTCCCCTCCAGCACCACAATTCAAAGGCCTCAATCCTTTTGCGTTCAGCCTTCCTTATGGTCCAGGTTTCACAGCCATACATTGCAACTGGGAAAACCATAGCCTTGACTATACGCAGTTTCGTTGGCAGGGTGATGTCTCTGCTTTTTAGTATGCTGTCTAGATTTGCCATAGCTTTCCTCCCCAGGAGCAAGCGTCTTTTAATTTCTTGGCTGCAGTCCCCATCTGCGGTGATTTTGGAGCCCAGGAAAACTATTATAAAATATGGAATACTTTGGGCAATAATGGCCATCTCCCATACTATAGGGCTTACAAGCATACAGAGATTCATTTTGTGAGTGTTTGACTTGAAGGAAGCTTGGAACATACAAAGGAAGACTTGGAGGGTGGCTGGATGTCCTAATTTACAGAAGACAGTCTTCTACTGGAAGAGTTGCTAGAGGACAGTGCTCTATTTAAAGAGGGCAGTTCTCTGTTTCAAGGGGATATTTGCACCCCAGGGGCCTTGAATGCCCTTCAACATTAGCATCTGGACACTAAATTGCACAGGCACACCAATCACTGGGTCAGTCTTGCTCACTATAGTAAGATGTATTTCAAGTCAGGTTCTAGTTATTATTCTAAATTTGCCTTTATGCATATATATTGGTATACAGAAATGGTATACAAATCAGTGTCTTCTGTCCTCTCTTTTGGCAATGCATTAGTGGCCCCGTAGCCTGTTACACCCAGTAAATTACTATGGTAGAATGGAAGAAGTGTTATGGTTGTGGGGTAGCTTTGGAGACAACAGATATTCCCCAGACCATGAAACATCGCCTTTTGCCCTCATGGTGTGACTGTGGAAAAGAAGGATATGATATGTATAGTATCAGTTGTTACTGGAGATTCTGGGATGTGGATCAGTCACCTCATGCCAAGTGTGAAAGGATGCTTTGCTTGGGTCTGGCAGCCAGCCTTCTTTCCATGTCCCAAAGTAAGGTATGGGGCCTTGGCCAAGGAGAGGGCCAGGGGCACTCACGCTCAGTCTTCACAACTGCTGCTTAGTCGGTCACTGGACAGTCATGCTTCAAAGCAACAGGGCAGTTGCTCATGCCTAATAAGGTGATCTGCAATGGTGTACTTCATCCCTTTTCATTTCTTTTCAATTTGTGTCCCATTCTCCTGCAGTTGCAGGTTCACAAGAAAACATGTCCACAAAGCTCAGACCTTGGAGAGTCAGTCCACTGCTTGGAACAGCAGCCTGGACTCTAAACAGTTCATTTATTCATTTTAAAAATGATGTCATCCTTCAAAATACTTCACTAGGGTGACTTAGACTGAAGGTACAAATAAAATAATACAAAAAATATTAACAAATCCATGTGTGAGTAAACCTATTTTTAATCTAGATTTATGATTTGGAATGCAAGGCCAGAATATTCCCTAAGTAAGATAGTTTCTACTTCTCAAGAAATGCTGAGGGTGCAGCATCCACTAATTAGAAGATTTAATTTCAGAGTGAGTCATGTTCCCTTCATGAAACATCAGGCCACGGACTATAAGACTCAGCCTGTTGCACTGAGCCAGGGAGATCTAGGTTCAAATCTCTGTTCAGCCATACACATCACTAGGTTACCTTCAGACAATTACTTCTTCTTAGCCTAACCTATCTCATAGCATCACTGTAAAGATAAATGGAATAGAGGTGGGGAGTGGAAATATGGTATACCATGCTGAGTGGCAGAAAATGGGTAACCCAACCTACTTACAGGTAAGCACTCTGACCTACCATATCAAGCAGAAAGTAAAGAGGCACTCTTCCTTGTCATGGCTATCCAGATTTGGCAAAAAATATTGAAAGTACCTGAACGCCAGGTGTTCCCAGTACGGACTGGGGTATATTGAGGGAAAAGCAGTTGGTGCAGATATGCTATTTCAGCAATGGGATGCTGCAGACATCCACAATCCAGTCAAACAAATTTGGAGTTCTGTGAATCCAGCCTGCAGATTCTGTAGCACACTTTTTCTGAGTCACATGGATTCATTGATCAGCTTTTTTACTTTTGGAGGTGGGGAGGACTTGAACTAATTCACATTAAGTGGAAGTGTTGATCTATGTTAGTGTAAATAAGCACCTTTGTGCAACTGAACAACTGTGCATTAGTGCCAGTGCAAAAATCAGTTAGCACAAACTGAAAAATATTCTGGTAAAAATAAACTAATTTCATCAATGAGCTGAAATGAAACACACCTAATACTCCATGAAACACAGGTGGAATAGATTTAACAATCTATTAAATGTATAAATCATACATTTATAGGCAGAGTAAGCCGTGGAATAAGCCACGGGCTGCTTTGTTGATTTATTTCTTCTTATTTTATTCATTATGTTTCTATAGCATTCATTATCTAAGGCAAAGCAATTGTTCCTAGCCAACGGACAGGCCAATCCATATTAAGTTATAAGATAGTTACCTGTTTTTCCTGTACCTTCACGTTGTGGCAACTTCTCATTTAGAGAACCTAATTGTGAGGGGAAAAAATGGAAAACCAGGTAGGAAAAGTCAGTTCTGTGATCATGATCCAATTTTTGTGTTGGGGGAGTAGCTACACAGGGAAAGCTATTTTAATATATTAAAAGTAAACAAGGGAAACGAGTCTTGTGATGACCCCTTCTGCATCAAAACAAATTGTTTTGTGCATGGTGTTTACAGCACCTGTCGCACTAAGCTCATGTTAGGGAAACTGCAAAGCAAAGACATTCGTGCACAACTTGGGAAGGAAATATCAGCTAATGGGAGTACACATTACATTTTCCAGCAACTATTTAACACCTGTTTCTAAATTTCCGTTCCATCTCCCAAGGGCTCAGTGGCTCTGGAATGTCTTTTAGTACCCTAAACATTGATAGCTTGACTTGGGGAACAGTAAAAATGTCTGCATTGCATCTGGTGCTTTTCAGTAGACAGTTTGTGGAGGATGGGAACATTTATCTTTATGCTGTCAAGGAGGCACATTTAATTTACTCTGTACTTCTTGAGCTGTCCAGTGCTCTTTCAATAGTAGATTAATGGAGGAAGGGAGTGCCTTAGAGAACTCGGGACCCTTAACACAATGCTTGTTATTACCAATTGACTATGAACGGGGTGTACCCAAATAACTTTAACATTGGAAAATTGACTTCTAAGGTAATGGAGGATAGGAGAGGAGAGGAGAGGGGAATCAGTTATGTTGAATACCATAAAGCCTCATTTATCCAAATAGTCTTGACTGAGAAACAGGTCAAACATGCAAAGCATCAGAAGTTCTGATGTACAGGAATGGTATGCCATGTAACCATATGGAAGGAACAGTGTTAGATAACAGATAATAAGGGACTCCATTCTGTCTGTGGAGTACTGAACAGAGTATAGGACTAGGGGAAAAAGGGTTCCATTCTTTGGTCAGCTACAAAATGCAGTGGGCGGGCTAATGGGAACAGATGTCAGTGAGGATTCAGGAGAGCCATCAAATAGGTGTATAATTCCTCTAGAGGCAATGACAACCACAAATGGAGAAAAATAAATGGAAACACAGTCTGAAATAGCACCCTGGGCTTAGCAATCAATTTATCTTATGGGATACTTACCTATTCTGCAATATAGGTGGGCCTTCTCAAGCATATTATAAAAGAAAAACTAAGAGGGGTTTTTGTAGGGAGGGTTATGGATCATAGCATAAATTAAGGCAGGAACTTCAAAAAGTATACAAGTCTTAATACACACTCATATGTTACTGTCATGGACTTCCAAATATATAATAGTGTGATATCAATTTCTGTCTTATTAACAATCCAATAGTAAACCAATCAGTCACATATGCAGGAACTGCAATTTCATACAATAAATATTGCATCTAGAAGAACTTGCTTTAGAATGTGCAGTTGTTCTGGGCTCACTCCAGTGCTTAGTTTGAGCACTCTGAAAAGTCACCACTGTTGAGTTTACTCCAATGGTCATACTGTTCTACTGTTCAGCTCTGTAGCCTTTTGGCTGGATCATGCCCACATGAGGATTCAAACACAGTCCTCCAAATGTACTGAACTGACAGAAACATCATCCAGATGGATTTATGTTGATTTTGCCTCCAGTTGTTACTAGATGTTCTAGTTACTATCTCAGGAAAAAGTTGTGTTATCTGGAAACCAATTTTATTTATTTCCAAATTGAATGGAATACATAGAAACAGAGCAAGTCAGAAGGGGTCTCCTGGGCCATCTAGTCTGACCCTCAGCTCCAGCCGGCTCTGGCCAAAGTACTTTCTGTCCCAAAACCTAAAGAAAAGTTGTGAAGTAATCCCTGTGTATAACTGTGGTTGTTATGTAATGTTTACTTTGAGAGGCCTCTGTGAAGTTGCCACAGAACTGAGTAGGACTAAGGCCTTATTCTGTTACTATTAAAAGCTTCTGTAGTAATTGCTTAGTGGCATTCTGAGACTCTGAATACTGTTAGATGGACCTGGATCTGGCTAGGTGGAAAAGTACCATTGGAAGATGACAGTTACAGTTGACAAAAGAGCCTGTCTGTGGAAAGCGAGTGGAAAGGCCTGCTAGGGTTGGGACAAATCCTAGCAGAATCCATCCCTCTAGTATTTGTGGGCTTCCTCTCATACTTTACCTGCTCCTGCAAAATGAACTGAGCCAAGAAGAAGGCAGCTTGTGGAATTAAGGTTGTGCAACTAGAAACCTTCTTCCACATCAAGTGCAACATGACAAAGACTGTTGCAGATGGTGCACAAAAGGATGCTGTTCCTAGCAAGTTTGGTATGAACAACTTTCTTCCACATCTGGTACAGCAGCCCCAACCACTGCTACACATGGCGTGGAAGAGCGATGCTGCTAGTGGTCGTGTTTCTGGTGGGCCCCACACGACCAGCCTTCTTCCATGTTAGGCGCGCTAGCCCAAATGGCTCCTATACAGAAGAGAGGCCCTGCTTGCACAGCACATGGGGCTCAAACCCTGGCAAGTGCCTCAGGAACACTGGGTACGCGTGCCAGGAATTCAAATCTCAGATCTGATGGATTCCCAACCCCACGTGGGTTCCTCACATAACCCGAATGTCTGCTGCTTGGTGTGTGGTGTTATAGAAAGAGAAAGCTGGGGAGAAAGTGATAACCAAGAACTGAATATCAAGCTATTCCTTCTCTGGGGGGTAACTATATGTGGTGGAGGGTCATGAGTAAGGGGCAGGTGGTTGTATTAAACCAGGAGGCTGCTCTAAGGTCTTGTCAGAAGATGATTATACAAGCAGCTAGTAAAAATCCAGACAAATTGTCCAGCAGCTGGTAATACAACAGGTAAAGCTTTGGAATCAGAGGAACTTGTACCCCAAAGTTGGATGTAGTTAAGGGGAGGAGTTTTAGAAAATTGGCTCCTGAGATAAATGAAGTCATGAGAGGCCTACAATAGCAACAGTGTCTCTTGAGTCCTGAAAAATTGTCTTTTGACAATCCCAAAATAAGTATCAATAATCTTTCATGTATAAAACATCCCTTTAATAGTTTGTTTAATGGTTTGCCTTGCTTTCTAGCATTTCTCTATAGATGGGAGCAGTGCTAATGAGAGGAAATTCCCTATGAAAACCCAAATAAGCTACAGGAAACAGCTCTGCTGATAGCCAGGCTCCAGCAACTGGCATGTGGCTGTAGCCATCCCATCAATCTACAGCCAAAGAAGATATAAAAAGGAAGAAGGGCCAATCTGTCAGCTCATCTACACACCCAGAAACTTGTAACTATTCCTTTCTGTTTCCATTCTAGCTGGTCATTAACAATGGTGTAATTCAGAACCAGGGTCTCACTTTGTTCCCTTGCTTTTGCCACAGTACCCTTTCCTTTTGTGTCATATCTTTTCAGATCATACCCCCGAGGGCAGAGAATGTATCTCCATCATTGATGTGCATGTAGTTTTAGTGGTCTTTTCTGGCTGATGAGTTTCATTTAAAAAAAGAACAACTTTAAATAAGTCAATAAATTGAAATAAAGATGATCAGTCATTAAGGAAAGTCTGGAGCTGAGTTGAGTACCTACTCAAAATCTTGCCCTGAATGGAATATTTGCTATCAAATGGGGTGGGGCGTGCCCAAGAAAAGCTTTGGCATAAGGGTGTAACACCATCTACTTCAATAGAGATACGTATGTCCCTCACTCTAGGAAGATTTCACCAGTTAATATCCATCACTACCACAGCTGACTTGATATGACAGAATGGGCAGTGGTTAAGTAATCCGGTAGTTGGCTGTAGACACTTATCCAAACCTTAGTGCACCTATTCAATAACAAATTGACCTTGCTATTGACATTCCGGTAATAGAGAACATATTGAGTCCGGATACACATGCACTGGTGGATGACATGCTTCAGAGGAAAGCATTTTAACTGAGTTCCAAATTACTTGATTCGGATGTCATGTAGCTGCCATTGAATATGCAGTGATTATTAGACAGGCCCCGCTTGACTGGCACAAGCAACTAAATAATTGACAAACATTGCTGTGTGTTCACTCAGTGCCTTGGAAGCATCACACATCTGGGATTTGTCAGCCCTATGACTAAGAAGCACATCTGCCAGGCAGCTTTTTGGGATCATGCATTAAAACTTCAGCACTAAACTGGGAGCATTTGTTTCTCCACTCTCTCTGTTGCAGGAAGCAGACACATGGACACCTGCCATGCAGTTGGACAGTATCTCCTGTTGTGTATAGTGTCTCTCTTCCTCATAACTGTTTTCAATTCATCACAATGCCAGTATATTCAAAAACAGTAATGCTGAGGAAGTCTGATATTTACAAAATAGTTCACAAGAAAATGAAGGGATCCAACTTGATAAGTATCACTTTTAATTGAAAATCTGAAAGCAGGGACTATGTAGCCCTCACCCCAAATGGGGTTCTCTCTTTTAAACACATGATGCTGCTATCAGACATGAATGCAATGAATTTGTGCAAGAGTAACTAAGCACAGAATTTTAACCATATGACCTTATCCAGTAATTTCAGTTTTGCATTGGTAATCTACAGAATTTCTTTTTTATCAAGTCAACAGAAAATTAATTTATTCTTTGAAGCCCTGCTGGCTACTACTTTGGAACTTGAGGGACATCCAAATCCAAAGTTCATACTTCCACTCAGACACTGGGAAACTAAAACATACAGAATCCAAAGAAGAAGAAAGCTCAACTAATCCACTGTGAGACTTTAACAGCCAACATTAGGAGAGAATTAGCAGATATTTCAGCCTTCTTAAAAATTAAATCTATGAGTTTAGCTAATTTCATTTCTGGCACCACAGGAAGGTTCTTCCATTACATGCAAAACAACGTGTTTGTTGCCAAATTCCAGCAAAAGGGGAGGGGAGAGCTGAATAGAACCATAATATATGCTTTACCTGGGCAACGTGGGGTTTTATGGGCTACAGCAGTCCCACTGATCGGACGGCCATTGGGCGTGACACACCAGCAGTAGCCTGTATAACTGTGACACTGAACCTGTTGGGGGGAAATCAAGCATGTGAAACTGAGAGAGCATATTCTACTATCTCAAATGTTCCTGAAATATAAGGCATTGGCTAATCAATTAGCATCTGCTGTAACAGAATGATCCTGTACCTTTTATGTGTTTTTTGTATATCCAAGAATTAATTTCCAGAGCTCTGCCACTATTTAGTATCACAGCAAAATCAACGGCCCTTGTTTTCTTCATTGTGCCCATCCTGTGGGTTGCAATCTGGAACTGAGATAGAACCTGATCCTCCTCCTCAAACTCATGGGAGTCCCCAAGCGCATGGTAGCCCATCTGGAGTGCAACCCTTTTCCTTCCTCCATAAAGATGAATGGCTACAAGTGACTCACTTAATGAAAAATGCAATACTGCATGTTGGAACAGGACTGCCATTGGTGATGGGTGTGTTTTACTCAGCTCAGTTCAGAGCTCAGGTCCAATCAAGTTAGAGTCATGATCCAAACTAGTTATGACATGGCACTCTTCACAGGGCCTGACCAGAGGAGGAGGGTAAAACTGCTCCACTTGCCAGTGGGGGCAGCAATCCCTTTTTCCAAAAAATGCCCATGGGAAATACTGCTCCATCATGAAGCAGTATCACTCTCACTGCAGAGCAAACTAGGAAGGACTGCTGCCAGGCAGCCAATGGCACTGCGCTGCAGCATGAGGTGGCAGCAAAATGAGTCACACAAGTAAACACCTGGAAATTCTCTGCCATCACATCAACAATGCCCCACTCGCTTGGTGGGAATGTGAGATCGTGACTTCCCTGTGGCAGCTCCCTCCCTGTGGAACAGCCCCTTCTTCATTCAGATAAACTTTTCTCTTCCATGTGACTTTCTTGTATTTGAAGTGCCGTGCTTGCTGGTGACTGTAACATCAGAATGGTGGTCTATCCACCCTGGTTCTTGGTCTAAGCTGTTAAGGAGCCATCCATGGTGCTGAACCATGTCCCCACTCTAGATTCAGCAGCAGGGATACCTCCTGCAAATTCAAACTGAAATCTGGAGTTGATACACTGCCCTGCTGATAGGAGAGTCACCAGCCACTGCTGTTTTGTGAGTTAGGTGTGCTCCCTTAATTTTGCTGTTGTGATCACATACATTTTCAAAAAAAGTTTTAAAGTTTTAATTGTAAGTTGTCTCAGAGGTACTGTTTGAACCAAAATGCAATTTGTAATTTGATAAATAATAAAGCAGTCCACCCCATAAACATTATTAGATTTTGAATCCTGCTGTAATAATCACAAAAACTCCACTTCTGCTTTTGCAGAGGAACACATAACCTCACTAAAGTGTTATTGGGAATATTAATCCAACAAAATTGCTTCATAATTGGAAACTATTAAAGGATCATTCTTCTTGGCATGAAACAGTTTTCCAGCTCTCAAATCAATTAAAAACTGTCAATCATCTAAGGCAGCAGTCCTAAGAAACACAAGGTAGTAAGCCCATTAAGTCCGATGTATTTAGATTCAGTAAGTATGAGTAAGGTTTAATTGATTCATACTTCAGGAATTCCATCTTGTTTAAGATGACTGATTTTCTGCTGGGGGAGGGTCTTTTAGTGGATTCCAATGTTCAAAATGGAATGCAATTAGTATATATACAGACATATATTTAAGGAAATTTGTACAAATAAGCACACAGACTGATCTAGAGCAATTCATGCAAAACTGACCAATTTGCACCATCGTAATTTGTACAGCCTGCAACTTGTACAAATTTTGACTTGCACAAATCAGCCAATTCTGCACAAAATATGCTAAAACTACATGGGTTTGGGGTGCTCATTTGCACAAATGTCATTAGTGGTTAAACATATATATGCAAATCACAGTCTGTTATTGAAACAGAAGTTCACAAGGTGACTCAATTTGCACCACAGTGTCTTGGCATTGGTGCAGGGCCAGCAATGGAGCTTGCTGATTCATGAAAATACAATGGATTTTCATGACCCATCAGATTCTTCATGCATGTTCATTTGTATCTTAGTAAGTTACATTTCCAGTGGCATACAGGAGTTAAACCCATGCACCCTCCTACATGAAATGTAGAACTTTAAATGTGAATTGGGTCTTATGTTTATAAATGCTTAAATGAATATACCTCAATCATGTGATTTATGAAAAAGGATGCATCCTTCATTTCTATCAACCTGACCAGCAGTTTTTTTCCCAAGTTTTACACAATCTGCAGACTGTTTCTTACTTTCCAGAATTTTATGCAAATTCAGTGGTAGAAAAATGGAAAAAATTAATGTGCATTCTCCTTATAGACTAAAACATGAAAATACATGTTTGGAGGGAATTTGCATATTTTCAGAACTGAAAGTTGGAATATGGAAAAGAGTCTGTCAAGGAGTGCATAATGGAAAGAAAAGCATACCATGGAACAATCCATGAAACACAGAAAAAAATTAACAAAATCTATACTTCCCTAGTCATTCTTGGAATTAAGGAGAAAGCAATCAAGAATGCTTTTTACATAAATGCCATAGAAGACTGAAAGATTCTTCTTAATAGGAATTCATTGTTGAGAAAAATATACTACGATATAAACAAAATATTCGAGTTAAATACTACATGCATAGCCCAATGTCATCTCTTGTAACCTGGGAGTTTAAAACACTTGTAAGAAAAGAGATGTTCATCTTCATACCATTGCAAACAATACTCACACCCAAGTTCTGAAACCCACATCTCATAGAGCTCCCAACACTTAACTAGGAATTCATGTTCAACTTTTCCAAGTTTATAAAGTCATCTGTGTTACTTTTAGCTGTTTTAAAATAGGGAGACTGATATGTAATCAACCTGTCATTTCTCTGAGTCAGAAATAACTGAACTCAGTAACCAAATACAATAGAAAGACACTGAACTGTCGGACATGACAAATAAAGAGTTAAGAGCTTTCGGTCAACCTGGCTGTAAGTGCCATCATCATTGCATTCTGGAATAAACACTTGCTGGAATTCCTTGCGTGCTTGTTCCTGAGTGTACTTCCTCTCTGCCACACATCTTGAAACATCTAAAGAAAGGGAAAAAAACCCCTGAGTATATGTAAACCTTTACAAATGAGAATACCATGGAATATGACCATATTACAAGCATGCTTTGCCATCTGCACTGGCTTCCAGTCCATTTCTAAGTCCAATTTCAAGTGCTGGCATCAATCTGTAAAACCCTAAATTGATTGGGGCTAGCTCACCTGAAGGCTTCCTTCTTCCCAGATATGCTTCACCAGGCCTTAAGTCCATTTTCCGAGCTCTTCTCCGGGTGCCTCTGCCACACGAGGCCAGGCCTTTGGCTCCAACAGGAAAGGCCTCTCTGTTGGTGGCACTCCAGTTGTGGAATGCCATCCCCGAGAGGCCTGACGGACACCTCCACTGTGTCTTTTTATTCCCCCAGGCTGTCGGTGCTTTCATAATTCTTTGAACTGATGTTATCTCCTCCTGTTGGTGTCATTCTGGCTTTATGCAGTTGTATGTTTATTCTGCTTTAGACCTGGTGTATCTTCCCTACTTTCCTAAATAGATATATTTATGCATTTGATTTTACCCCACCTTTCAACCAACCAAAATGTTATTCAGGTGCAATCATAAATAAAACCACACTATCCTACTGTAAACCACTCAGAGACCCTTGGGTAGTATATAAATATTGTAAATGAACAAATACAGCAGAGCAACATAAAGAATCAGTCTGACGGTCTGTGCACATCTCCAGTTGGATCTTCTGTTTCCTGCTGGAATTTGAGAATGAACTTTAGCAAATATCCCCAATAAGAGCTTCTTTGGCCAGACGTATTCCTGATCCAGAGGGCTGCACAGTAAGCTCTGCAAAATGTTAGGGATATGAATGCCTCTTTTTTTACAATGACCCAGTTATTCTCTGACTGCAACAGAAGGATGAAAAGAAAAATAACTAGCAGCAGAGGTCAGAAGGAAATGATTGATTAAGTCAGAGTCGGTTGGAGCAAGTCATTCAGTAGAAGAACAGAGATAGTTATTGACGGTCAGGTAGGCAACTGAGTTTACATGGTGATCCACAGGGGAATTAGGGACCTGACTTAGGTGTCAGAATGAGGGACTGGGTGGAGATTAGGGAGGGAGAGAAGCTATAGAAAGCAGAGGTATGTGGTAAAGTTTTTAGAACCAATCAGTATTATATTTACCAGATGATTGCTTGTTTTGAATGTTGACCCATGACATACATAGCAAACGTTTCTTCTTTAAAATGCATATAGTCTAGACTGATTCAATCTGAGGTTGGCATATCTCACCCCATGTACTGGCTTTGACATACACATTTAGGGATATATAGAAGAAAGCTCTGGTGCTCTCTACAAGTCAATAGGTGGTAGAAGCTGATAATTTTGGAGAGTCCTGGAGAAAGTGAGGATCCAGTGTCCATCAGGGACTAAAGCCTTAACCCCCAGATTTGTCACACTGGCTCAGATCACAAATCAGAGAGGACCTCTCCAAGCCCTCCCCATTTGCCCAGTTAGACCTATCCATAGAAAGTGGGCCAGATCTTGCTTGTTTTAGGCTGTGGGAGTCCTTGTCAGGTTCAGAAGCAGAGGAGGAGCAAGCAGGAGCTGAACCCTTTGAAGCTCCTTTAAAGTTGCCTAGTGAAGTTTCTCACATTGGCCATGAGAGTCAGTTTTGGAAGAGATGAAAGGGCTTTCAGGAAGGGAGGTGGAGAAGAAGGAGGACTTTGACCCCCTAAGGAGAGACAGCTGGTCATCTGGAGGGACTCTGTCACTCTTGCCAACTTCCTCTCTGACAGCAAGAACCCACCCCAAGGGTGAAGCCAGCAGCCTTACTGAAAGGGAAGGTCCAAAGAGAAGTTTGGATTCAACTTTTTACATGAGCAGAGGCTTCTCCTCCCAGCTTTAGTAAAAGGCTATTTTGAGTTAAACAGCTCAGTCAACTGTGGGTTGAAATGCAACAACAACAGCAACAAAAACATTTCAAAGGCTTGACTTGCGTTAAGAAACCCAAGGGAAGGAGGGAAGGACACTAACTCACGGCACTGCTAGCTTCAGCAATGCTGGAGCAGATGGTGTTCTGGAAACTACAAGGTCCTCCTATTTTTCACAGATCACTGGATTATTAGCCTTCAGGTGTCAGAGGCACCAGAAAATGCCATTTCCTGCATCTGCTAGGGTTGCTGACATTCTGGGCAGCAAGGAAAAGTGACATGAAGCCAGGCAGCGAGCGCCACCATTGCTGCAGCAGCCATCAGGCAAAGCCGGGTAAGGGACAGGGTCACCCCATGAGTTTTCTACAGTTTAGTGCCCATGGCTACCAAGGGCATGGATGACCTTTCAAGATCCATGCCCAGCCAAGTCCTCCTCAGGTGTCAACATGTAAGCCAGTCACACACCTCTACCAGAGTGCGATTAGCATCAGACTGAAGGGGAACTGTTCATCTACTGTTCATCTGTAGGGCTCTCAGCCCAGGGACATGAGCAGGTTGATCAGGCGTCTCTGTGGAGAGATCCCAGTGTTTACAGATCTGCATGCACATACTCGCAGGCCCACTCCTGACTGACTGACTTTGGTGTCATTGTCTATGAAGGAGGGACCAGTCATGCATCAGTCTCTAGGAGGTAGGCTAGCTAGATGCATTCTCATAAGCCCTTTCATGCTAAGAAGTCATGGGTACTGAACAACCAGATAGAGCTCTTGTGTTGCACATAACACGTGGCTCCACCATATGATGTTTTCTTTTGCTTAAATCTGCAGTTAGTTCTCTTTGTCATGCTTGACTCATGTGATCTGGTACACGTCTATCAAAGATGGTGTTTCGTGCACATATATGGAAGTTAAAGACTTTCCAGTCAAGTGCGGATGAAATTTGAAATGCGTTTAAGGAAAAACATGTGATTTTAAAGATGGACATTTAAGACTGCTGCTGTCTAAAAAGCCCAGCTTCAGAAGTACATCTTGGTTTCTGGAGGAATTATATCCCTCACATCTGAGGCATCTGATGAAGTGAGATCCAGTCCATAAAAACATATGCCACAAGAAATCCATTAGTCTTTCGGGTGCCACAAGACTCCTCCTTGTTTTTGCTATAAAGGCCAATTTCTTAAAGTCACACTAAAGGATTTTGCTGTAGTCAAGCTATGCTGTGGTAGTTAACTGCTAATGTGTGTGCTTTTTTAAATGGCAATACATCAGTTTAACCCAGCTTTCATACCATGTGCCTTATCCTAAGCTTCATAAGTTTGCTTATACATTACTTACTGACATGTGGTTTTAATGTAGTGAGTGTTTTAACTGAAAATAAATCTCTCCTTTGGTGGACTTCTGTCTTCATTTTTTAGTGCAGCATGTGGTTTAAATGTCAAAAGGAAAAGTGATCTACATTCCAGTACAAGAGGGCTGTCGTCATCAACATGCTTGCTTGGGAGCAAGTTCCTGGGACCAGCTCACCGTGCACAGGGCTGTATCCAAGATCTCTGTTACAATTCTGAGAGCATCATAAGGCAGCTCTTACATAGGGCATGCATCACTGAAGGATGCCAGAGAAATGGAATTCTATAGAATTCTTCTGACTAAAGCATTCCTCTTTGCTGCAAGCCCAATATTCAAAGAGTCAACCAAAAGCCAAATGTAATGGAACATGACACCCCCAGTATAAGATGTAGTGTTTCTGGAATTGTTCAAGCACAGGAAGCTCTTAATGTCATGGAACTGAAATGCCTCTATCTCAGGCTAAGATCACCAGAAAGTTGCTCTTTTGCCTACTTATGGCAATGGTTTGCATATTCAAATGTTCATTAGTGGTTTTATTCATTGGTGATATTTCAACCAAATGGATGAACAGTGTACAAAGGTAGTATACAAAGACATGAATATGATTAGCCATGTCAATATAATAAAAATGAAAGTAATGTTTACTGAGGAATGGTAATTCAGCAGTCCCAAGAGGTAGTAATTCATCTACTGCTCCAGATCTTCCAGTGCTGTTAGGACTGATAGTCCGGCAGTCAGGAGAAGCTGTTGAAAGCTTTTGACTTTCAAACCGAAATGGGGCTGTGGGTGTTGAAGGGGGCAGCAGGAAGTACTCAGCTGCTGATATGAAATAATACTCAGCAGCCTCCTCTAAACAGCTACTGAGAGATGCAGCAGCAGCAGCACCATGCAGAAGATTCATGACTGTTGGCTGATCAGTGATGTCAGACCTGGCGCCAGCATGTGGGATCCGTGGGCAAATGCTGGGACCCCAGCAGGCTCCACCGGCTTTGTGGATGTGAACTAGCTGGAGGTCAGTGGGAACTGGGCAGACAGCCCAGTCTGGCAATGGCGCAAAGTGAAGGTCTGAGCCCATGTGGCATGCCTTAGCTGGCTGATATGGCCTCTTCAGGCAGACCAATAAAGATGTAACCAGCCCACTGAAGTCAGCGTGTCTGGTTTATTTCTTCATTTGTCACATGGACCCAATTAGACACTGTGCTGCACAAGCTTTGTAATGGAGCATCTTAAACACTGGGAAAGGGGCATTTTCGATTCCAGGAGAATACACAAGAGCTCACACTAAATGGGAATCTGCAAACATTTGCTGTAGGTTCAGCCTAACTGAACCCTCCCAGACCACTACCCAATTCCATGTCTCCCACAACTGGACGGCATTTCTAACTGAAGGTGGATTTGATCACCAACCAGGGATCTTTCCTAAGCTTCAGAAGGTTTGGACAAGTGAGGATGGCACTGTAGACTTGGGTTTTGTCAGCAAGCATTTCAACTACCCCAACTGGTTTTCTGAAGTACTTGCATTCTGGTATATTTTGCTGGGTGAGAAGCACAGAGAATTGGGCAAACAACTGACTGGTGAGACACACAAATGCAGAAGTAGCTGGAGAAGAGAATCATGGCATTTAGAGGTAATGCTAAACCATAGATGTATGCTGCACAGAAGAGGCTCATGTGCTTCCCAGTCCCCTGCTCTAGTGTGGTGGTGATGAGGACTTTGGAACCCCTTGCTTCTGTTGTCAGTTAACCATGGATTGTTGTTACG